GCTGCTGGTGGGTCCTGCGGAGTGAGGCGCCGCGCGGATCTGAGCAAGACCTCGCCGTGCCTGGGGGGCTGCGATCTGCGAACTTGTCGCCACTTTCGAGGGCTGCTGGTGGGTCCTGCGGAGTGGGGCACCGCGCGGATCTGAGCAAGACCTCGCCGTGACTGGGGGGCTGCGATCTGCGAAACTGTCGCCACTTTCGAGGGGCGCTGGTGGGTCCTGCGGAGTGAGGCACCGCGCGGATGTGAGCAAGACCTCGCCGTGCTTGGGGGGCTGTGATCTGCAAAACTGTCGCCACTTTCGAGGGCTGCTGGTGGGTCCTGCAGAGTGAGGCACCGCGCAGATCTGAGCAAGACCTCGCCGTGCCCTGGGGGTCTGCGATCTGCGAAACTGTCGCCACTTGCGAGGGCTGCTGGTGGGTCCTGCGGAGTGAGGCACCGCGCGGATCTGAGCAAGACCTCGCCGTGCCCGGGGGGGCCGCGATCTGCGATATTGTCGCCGCCACTTTCGAGGGCCGCTGGTGTGTCCTGCGGAGTGGGGCACCGCGCGGGTGTGAACAAGACCTCGCCGTGCCTGGGGGGCTGCGATGTGCGAAACTGTCGACACTTTCGAGGGCTGCTGGTGGGTCCTGCGGAGTGAGGCGCCGCGCGGGTGTGAACAAGACCTCGCCGTGCCTGGGGGGCTGCGATCTGCGAACTTGTCGCCACTTTCGAGGGCTGCTGGTGGGTCCTGCGGAGTGAGGCACCGCGCGGATCTGAGCAAGTCCTCGCCGTGCTTGGGGGGGTCGCGATCTGCGACATTGTCGCCACTTTCGAATGCTGCTCGGGGGGCCAGCATAGCGATCTGCGGAACTGTCGCCACTTGCGAAGGCTGCTGGCGGGTCCAGCGGAGTGAGGCACTTCGCAGATCTGAGCGGGACCTCGCCGTCGCTGGGGGGCTGCGATCTGCGAAACTGTCGCCACTTTCGAGGGCTGCTGGTGGATCCTGCGGAGTGAGGCACCGCGCAGATCTGAGCGGGACCTTGCCGTCCTTGAGGGGCTGCGATCTGCGACGTTGTCGCCGCTTTCGAGGGCTGCTGGTGGGCCCTGCGGAGTAAGGCACCGCGCAGATCGGAGCGGGACCTCGCCGTGCCTGGGGGGCCGCGATCTGCGAAATTGTCCCCACGTTCGAGGGCTGCTGGTGGGTCCAGCGGGGTGAGGCACCGCGCGGATCTGAGCGGGGCCTCGCCGTCCTTGGGGGGCTGCGATCTGCGCAACCGTCGCAACTTTCGGAGGCTGGTGGCGGGTCCAGCGGAGCGAGGCACCAGGCAGATCCGAGCGAGACATCGCAATCCTCGGGGGGCTGCGAGCCTCACGCATGCCGCTCGCAGAAGTATATGCGCCCATGTCACGTCATCACCTCCGTATAACGTCTCCCAAGCTATTCATGCCCCGCATTGCGCATGGGTTCGGTACGTCGCCAGGGTAATTATCATTAGTCCGAGAACTGCTACTACGACCACGGCGGCAACCATCACAACAGCATCAGGAACTGACACGACTACCTGTACCACCTCTGTTACAGGTACGAATATTACGACTACGACTATCTCGAGTATTACGATTACTATTACTACATTCTACTACTACCACTACTACTACGACGGCTACTACGATTTCGACTACTGTTGCTACGACTATTGCTGCCACTACTACTACGTCTAGTTACGCGATCACTTCGTGTACTCCTCGGTCTGCTTCTACGGCTACTACTACTAATACGATTTCGACAACAGAATATCTCTCTACTGCTATTATGTTTGCTACTGATACTACGATGAGTAGCACAAGTACGATCAGTACTACTGCCACTACTACGACGACGATTCCATGTATGAGTATAATACTACTTCGGCTACTACCACTAGTACTACGAGCACTACGACTTCGATTAACATGCTTATTGCTACTACAATTGCGACTACCACTACTACGACTACTAGGATTACGACTACTTTCAATATCCCGGCTACTAGTACGATTGTTGCTTTTACTATCATGACGATTGCGACTACGACTCCGAGTACGACTACTATGACTAATGCCGCTTCTGCGATTATTTGATTTACGATCGTTACTACGACGACTAGTATCACTACGGCTACGACAAATTTGACGATTAATAGTGCTACTATCTCTGTTTCTACACCTATTATGCCATACCATTACTGCCACGGTTGCGTCTACTATCACTATTACGAGTATTACTTTCGCGATATCTACTAGTACTACTGCAACTTTCACTAATATTTTCACAGGTAGCATCACGACTACGAGCAGTAGTAATAGTAGTAACAGTCGTTGTCCTAACGCTACCCTTCAAAGTATTAATTTGAGCACTGCTCGTGCCCAGCTACTACTAGTGATAGCTCTACCAGAATTACTTCCCGAGCACTATCATTATTACGACGACTACTGCAATTCCTCTTCCTGCTACTTTTATTGTTGTTGCTACTACGACGAGTAATACAACTACTTCTACTACTACTACGCCGACGACGAGAATTAATATTATGAGTATTACTACTACTGCTACTACTACTACTACTACTACTACTACTACTACTACTACGAGTACGATTATGTCTTCAACGATTGCTCTTACTTGCTATTGCGAGTGCTACACATCCGACTACTACCACTGTTGCGACAACGAGAAACATTGCTACTACTACTACGAGTGCTGCTACGATTGCTGTTGGTACGACGATTATGACCACGAGTAATATTACTCCTGCTACCAGTACTACCATTATTCCTTTTGCTCTTACAACAGCTACTACTACGACTGCTACTATCCGCTTAGTCTCATTACTACCACTACAACTACTATTATTACGACTGCGAGCACTCTTAGTATTGCTCATACTACTACTTCTATTACGGCTACTACTGCTACTACTACTACTTCTACTACTACTGCTACTACTACGACTACTACTACTACTACTACTATTACTACTACTGATATTACTACTACTACTACTGTTACTACTACTACTATTTCCACTGTTGCTACCATCGCTACGCGTAGTACTACCACCACTACGACTGGAATTATGACCACTACTTTTACTGCTGTTCTTGCCAGTACTACTACTGCTAATACTGCTTAGTACGACGACGACTACTACGATTACTACGGCCTATGATTAATTGATTACGGTTATTATTTCCATTGCTACTACGAAGACGACGACGACTACTACTACGACTACACCTGCTATTCTTATTACCGCTACTACTACTACTAGTACTACGACTACGACTACTATTGCTACTACTATTGCTACTCTTACTACTACTAATATCAGTACTACTACCATTACTACTGCTAGTAGTAGTAGTACTACTACTACTACTACTACTACTACGACTGTGATTGTGAGTACTCCCATTACTACCCCTACTACTTTATAGTACTACGTCTGCGATGACAAGTACTTTTATTCCTGCGTCTGCGACTTCTTGTTTTTTTCTGTTATCCCGGCAACGATTACGACTACTATTGCGGCTTCTATTATTATCAAATTCTACGACGACGATTACGATTACTATTAGTTTTTTTCGATTACTACTACTACTACTGCTACTACTACTACCACTACTACTAACACAGCGTTTACTACTACTACTACTACTACTACTACTACTACTACTACTACTACTACTACTACTATTCTATTACTACTACTACTACTACTACTACTACTACTACTACTACTACTACTACTACCACTACTACTACTACGACTACGACTACGACTACTATTAATACTACTACGATTACTACTATTACTACTACAACTACCAGTAGTACAACTACTACTACTACTACTACTACTACTACTACTACAACTACTACTACTACTACTACTACTACTACTACTACTACTACTACTACTACCACTACTAATACTACTTGCGCTACTAATACTACAACCAATACCACTAGGAGTACTACTACGATTAGTACCAGTATTACCATCACTATTATTATCATTACTACTACTACTACTACTATTACTACTACTACTACTACTACTACTACTACTACCACGAAGGCTCTCAAGCTTATTCTTATTACTACTACCACTACAAGCACTACTATCATTACGACTACTACTACTACTACCACTACTACTACCAATACTACTACTACTACTACTACTACTACTTCTACGATTGGTGTTACTACGTCTACGACCACTTGTAGCAATGGTAGTATTGTTATTAGTATTGTTATTATTACTACTACCACTACTACTACTACTACTACTACTACTACTACTACTACTACTACTACTACTACTCCTACTACTACTACTACTACTACTACTACTACTGCTTCTACTACAACTATTACTAAGATTTTTTCTACTTCTACTACTACTACCACTACTGATGATAATGTTGCTGCTTGCACCACTACCATTACCACGACGGCTACGACGACTACTACTGCTTCTTTTCTTACTACTACTACTACTACTACTATTACTACCACCACTACTGCGACTACTATTATTGGTACTATTACGACCAACATTTCTACTATTTGAACGGCGGCGACGACTACCACTATCACTACTTCTACTACGACTACAATTACTAAAACTATTATGACTACTAGTGCTATTAATAGTATTCTCATGTCTACTTCTAATAGTACTACTACTTGTACTACTACTATTCTTATTACTACTACTACTACTACTACTACTACTACTACTACTACTACGACTACTGCTACTTCTATTACTGTTGTTTCAACGATTGGCGCTACGATTGCTGCAACTAGCACAACCATCAGCACCCGTGCTCAGCCATGCCCCCCGGGTCCCTCATCTTCCTCAATTATCATTATGTTTCTCCTTCTTTTCCTCACTCCCCCATTCCCATCTCCACCTCTTTTGTTGCTGCCCGTCCTCCTCCCTCCGCCGACGCGCGCCGCGCCGCGCGCAGGAGTGGCACCGGGAGGTGTCCAGGCCGCTGGGCTTCTGCCGGCGGTCGCCGGAAAGGAGAGCATGGCGCCTCCGGGGTGGGGCTGGGGGGGGGGCGGAAATGGTGAGGTGGGGGGGGCACGGCGGAGGAACAGCGCCGAGACACAAGGAAGGATGAGGTTTGCATCAGCTCGCCACGGTCAGTGGGCGGTTCGTGGTGCAGGCCGTGCGTTGCTGTGCCAGAGGGTGGGGGGAGAAGAGGGTCTGAGGAGGAGGAGGAGGATCAGGAGGAAAAGGGAAGTGGAAAGGAAAAGGACAAGGAAGGGCAGCAGGAGCAAGGCTCCGCCTCCAGGTTGTGCGTGGCAGGAAGGGAATTCGCGTAAAGGGGGTACCAGAAAGAGGAAGAGGAGGAGGAGGAGGAGGAAGAGGAAGAAACAGACGAAGAGCACGCGCGGAAATCTCAGCAGAAGTCGAATCAAAGATGCACCACGGACGTCAGAGGCCCTGAGCATCGCACTGCAATCAGCTAAAGGTCTGCGGTCGGGAAGTTTTTGCTTAATGTTCGCGTGTTGCGCCGCCGGTTCTGGCCCACCACGCCACGGCGCGACACGCTGTCCACGCCCCCGCTCCCAGACGTCCACGTCCCAAGCTGTCCCCGACTTCCCGCCCCGCGAGTTTTGGCTTCATTTGCGTGTCGCGCCGCCGGTTCTGGCCCACCACGCCACGGCGAGACACACTGTCCACGCCCCCGCTCCCGGACGTCCACGTCCCAGGCTGTTCCCGGCTTCCCGCCCTGCGAGTTTTGGCTTCATGTGCGTGTCGCGCCGCCGGTTTTGGCCCACCACGCCACGGCGAGACACGCGGTCCACGCCGCCGCACCCAGACGTCAAATTCACAAGCTGTTCCCGACCTTTCGCTCCGCAGAGGGGAACAACACGCCGTCCGCTTACAAGGCGTAGCATGTGGCCAGGCCGCCGCCACGCCATGCACAGGTTCCTGACCATCTTTGGTGCGGAGATGAGGATGCAACTTCGGGGGAGTTTAATTCAGAATCGGTGTTGTTATACACCTGGTCGAAAACTGGCCGAGCTTATTCCTGCTAAGTCCAGTTGATATGTTTTCATCCTGGCTAATTCCGCTTAGTCTGGGTTGAACATAGGCTAGACCCAGCCTTATCCGGCCCATTGGCCCCCAATCAGGCCTAGTAGCCCCCAATCTTTCTGACGGAGACCTCCAAGGAGTTGCCTCATTGACAGCGAAGAGGACGAACACGACCACGCAGTCGACGGCGTCGCCGGCGGCGACGACGACGGCGGCGGCGACCGCCCTGAAGGTGCCGCTCGCACGCCGCCGTGCCCCGCCCTGCGCTGGATAGTGCTGGCGGCGAAGGGCCCGCGCCGGCGGAGCCCGCGGCGGCGGCCGCCGACGACCCGCCGGCGAGCCCCCCGTCGGCCGCCGTCGCCGCCGCCGCTGCCGCCGCCGCCGCCGCCGACGACGACGGCGGCGGCGGCGACGTGCGACGTACGACGTACGACGTACGACGACGACGACGACCGCGACGACGACGACGATGACGACGACGACGACGCTGGCGTACGACATCTTCTTGTCGGACCACGACGACGAGGGTGTGTTTTGTGTTTTTCTGGACGTTCTCGTCGCAAAGGCTGCACGCAGCTGGAAGAACAGGACGGGGAGGACCCCGAGAGATGTCCGTGAACAGGTTTTAAACAGGTTTCTGTCAGGCGTCGTCGCCGTCAGCGCCGCTGCTTCCTTCCCTCATGTTCCATGCTCTCCTTCCCTCCCTTCCTCCCCATCCCTGCTCCTCTTCCTCCTTGTCCCAGGTGTACCTCGTTTTGGTGTGCGTCTTCGTCGTCATTCGCCGTCCGTCGCAACCGTCCTTCCTCGCAATCGTCGTGACTTGTCGTCGTCGTTGTCGTCGTCGCTCGTGGTGGCCGAAGTCGCTGAGATTGAGGCGGGATAATGAAGAATTGAAATTTCTTAAGCATCCTTAATGCTGCACTTCTCTTTATCATATCCTCTTCGTCATCCGCGTTCCGCATTCTGATATATCCCCTTTCCTTTAGATGTATTATGCGTAAGGGCTTCGCCCCCTGTCGCCGGCCCCCTCTCTCGGAGAATGGGCAATGCAAGAGCGAAATCATGAGGCCTTGGCGCCGCCGTGAAGCCGCGTCGGGACTTCACGCGAAGACGATGAGTAATCGACATGACAAATTGAGATTCTGATGACACTGTTGAATTCGGTGTTGCATTTCGAGCTTGCTCGCGTATGCTGTGCAAAAAGCTTTTCTACGAAGTATTGCAATGTTGCAAATCCCATGTTTTTTGACCCTGACCCCACCGATCTGCGTGAGCGGTGCCACCGAATTTCAAGACATGTGGCAAATCCCATGTGGTTTTAGATTTTGATTTTGTTGATTTGTATGAGGAGTGCCACCGAATGTCAGGAATGTGGCAAAGACCTTGTGTTTTTGGACCCTGACCCCGCCGATCTGCGTGAGGGATGCCACCGAATTTCAAGACATGTGGCAAATCCAATGTGTTTTTCGACCCTGACCCCGGCGATCTGCGTGAGAAGTGCCACCGAATTTCAAGACGTGTGGCAAATCCTATCGGTTGTTCGACCCTGAACCCGCCGATCTGCGTGAGGGGTGCCGCCGAATTTCAGAAGTATAGCAAATCCCATTGGTTGTTCGACCCTGACCCCGGCGATGTGCGTGAGGGGTGCCACCGAATGTTAAGACATGTGGCAAATCCCATGTGTTGTTCGACCCTGACCCCGTGCCACCGAATTTTAGAACTGTGGCAAAGACCTTGTGTTTTTAAACTCTGATCCCGCCGATCTGTGTGAGGGGTGCCGCCGAATTTCAAAAATGTTGCAAATTCCATGTGTGTTTCGACCCTGAGGGGTGCCGCCGAATTTCAGAAATGTGGCGAATCCCATGTGTTTTTGGACCCTGACCCCGCCGATCTGCGTGAGGGGTGTCAGTTTCGACCCACCCCAGAAATTTTGATAACCCTCCCATGAGGTGCTAACCAGGGTGCTTTTCGGCTCCCCCCTCGCGCGGTCTACAACAAGGAACAGTAAGCAGCATAACTAAGCAGCATAAAGCAACCCTGTAACAGTGGAAACTGGAAACTGGAACTGGCGCAGGGAACAGCAAAACCTGGTCCTACAGCCTTGTGGCCCCACAAGGGGGCTGGCGGATCCTTCTGCTCACCCTGCTATTCCTCTTCTTCCATACTCCCTCGTTCCTCCTCCCTGCTTCTGCATCATGAGAACGTCATACCGAGCCACCTTGCGATGCTCTAAGGCGGTGCTCATGTGTGCACACGGCCGTACTAGACAGGACAGCAAGTTGATTCCCAGAACGGTTTGCACAGAGGGAGTTGGCAACACCATTCGGATCCACATCAGCTGAGGTATGGAATACAACCACGCCCAGCACGCAGTGCTATGGAGGCGAATGCCAGGCCAGAACAAGAATCTGAGGCTAAACATGCTAATCCAAGTATTGTAGGCACAAGCTGGAGGCTGAGCGGACCGAGCAGCCTCGTGTTGATTGAGCACTCAGCGATCCTGGCTCAGCTGGGATTCTCAAGCCGCTGGATTCCTTCTGAGGGCACTGACTTTGGCGGCGAGGGTGCGCACGCGTTGTTGTTAAGATCGATTGGCCGCGCTAACCGATTCTAAGGGAGCTGCGCAAGAGGGACACAATGTATGTACATTCCTCCTTTCCCCAAAATTCAAAGTTGGCACGGGCGGAAGAGACTGCGGTCGAAGTGCAACTCATCAGACCCACCGCCAACTTTGAACATTGGGGGAATGGGGGAGGCGTTGGCCGATGAATGTGGAATGAGTGTTCGCCATTTTTTTCGAGGCCTGTGTGGACTACCCACGGCGCATTCATCACGATGCCATGTACGTGACCGCAGTAGGCTGAATCGACTAAGAGCGAATCAACGATGCATTCTGGACAAGTTCCCGTCGGTCGTTGAAAGTAAAGCGTTTCTGGATTCCCAGCTCCCAGCCTACTGTGAACGCCTTCCTTTTTCAAAGATCGAATGACCTTTCTGGCTTCTTCCATTTCGGGGGCTAGGCCGCAACCCAGTCTGCTTCCAACGCCTTCCTACTTCGTGCGACTACCCACTTCTTCCGAACGACGGGTACGCAGCGCATCCTTAGCACGCAAATTGACCCCTCGTTGCCGCGGGTTTGGCCCAGCTCGCAGCGCCAGCCACGACTCTGGCCGAGGAAGGCGCATTAGGGCGAAGTCCCAGCGCCAGTTCACTGCGACGGCCCGGCGCGTCGTCTGTCGCTCGTGGCGCCCCGCCGCGCTCTCCTTCTCCGAGGCCTTCTCCTTCCCCGCAGAAGATGAGCTCGAAGGCGAGGCAGAGGGCGCAGATTCCTCTCCGCATGCGGTCGCGCGAACTTTTGGACAGCGCGTCGCGCCGGCTCCGGCCCACCGCGCTTCGGAGCGACGCGAGGTCCCTTTCGGAGTCGCGAGGCGCCAGCGTCCCCCGGCTTTCCCGAGCCTCCCGCCCAGAGAGCCTCGGACGGAGGGGTGTGTGGGGGGAGCAGCGCAGGCAGTCTTGCGTCGCGACAGGGGGGAAGGGGGGGGGCCTAGAACATCACAGAAGCCCTGCTAGACACCACGCCTCAGGAGGAGAGTTGGAGGAGGAGGTGGGAAGAGTCTGAAGGCGTGGACGAGTGAACACTGTTGGTGATAAGCGAGTTCGGGGAGGAGGGTGCCAGACCTGCAACGGACGAGTTGCCCTCGGATTGGGTGCGCAACAGCGGTGCCAGATGCAACTGGGTCATATCTCTGCCCGCAAGGTGGTCTTCATCTGGCCTTCTGGGCTCCTCCGAATTTCCGTGTGTTTATGTGGGTTGTTTTGGCGCTGCGATATTGCTGCAACCGCAGGTGTCTCGCAATTCCCGCCTCGAAGCCACCGCCAGCCAGCGGCTATGCTCATGCCCGCCAGTACCCCCGTTGAAAAGCATTGTGCGCTTTTCTTGTTCCTGGCCCCGCAGAGGACAAAACTAGGAAGATAATGGTAAATATGAGGAACGCATGATGATGGCGATTGTCCCGTCGAAGCAGTTGCTCTAACTCTGGTGAAAGAGGTCTCGCAGATTACTGGCCCCCGCCAGCTTTACATATCGAATTCGCGACGTGCCTGAGTATATGGCTTTGTGGCCCTGGAGTTATGATCTGCTGCGGAAGCGTCGTGGCGTAGCAGGACGGGGGAGAGCGTTGTGGGTCAGAGGTCGCTTCTCCTCGCGCGGACGCGGAGCAAGTCTCGGCCCTCGCCGGGCGGTTCCATTGATCCCTTTCCCAGATCTCCGCCCACGTACCCCTCCTTCTCTTCTTCCTGTTCGTCCTCCTCCCCCTCCCCCTGGTCGTCTTCTTCCCGACTGTACAGCAGCGCACGAGTTGAGCCCACAGATCTGGGACACGTCTCACGCAGGTCTGATTTCCGCCTGTCACGCTCCCTCGCGCATCCAGCCTACATGTGGGCGTACATAAACCTTGCGTCCCCTTGCCCTTGAAAACTGATTTCACCTCGCCGCACCACTGGGCGTGTTGGTAGGGCGGTTCCTGACACGCTTCGCTGCCAACGGCTTTCTCACATTTGGGGGCTCGATGCTTCATGCCAGCAGTTCTTCAGAGGCATTGCGGGCGGTTTTCAACATCGAGCCTGCACCCTAGAATTCCTTTGTGTCCACCAGCCACAGAGGTGGAAAGGAGGGGCAGCTGAACGGCTTCTTTTCAAAATCGCCATCTCGCTTTGGCGCCTCGTGCATTTTCTTGTGAAGTTGTTTCCAACTACATGGATCGATGGGAGGCTACTCCATCACGAGCCCACTCTAATGTACAACGTCATACAGCCGAATATGAGCACGTGCCTGTGTATACACAGAACTCTTGGTCTGCATTTCGCAGCCGATGAGTTCCTCACTTTGTAGTAGACTGGGGCGGGTTAGGTAGATAGCCGTCGCCCCCCAGGAGTGATGGGTGAGCGGTTTGCTGGGATATCCCTGCTCGGCAGACCCAGAGGTCCGATGGCTTGATTTGTTTAATCCGGCCCCCCCCCGAAGTCTCGAGTATTTCGGCAGGGCTGTCTTTTTTCGGTGTTCGATCCGTCTTTTGACGACCCCAGGGCCCAGGCAGGGGCCCCTGCAGATCGGAGATTGCTAAACAATTTTCCGTCCTGATTTTTGCCGCGAGGCGAGGATGTCAGGAGGGGAGGGGAGAGGGCATGCTCTCCCCCGCCCCACCGCACACATCGCAACACCACTCAACACCTCGTCGTTCACGGAGCGGCGCTGAGCGGTGTTGCGCAGTGTGGGCTTACAAGCCGTTTCCTACAGGGTCCTGCATGGCTCGGACACGCCTCCGGGAGGGACATCCTCTCCATGGAGGCTTGGACTTGGGCAGCAACACCAGCACTGGGGGTGGCCTCCTGGGGGAAGCTGATCCCAGATTTCGGTCTTGGTGGTGATCTTTCGGCCGCCTCGGAAGCCCGACTGCTACCACCATCGCTGAGATCGGGACCACCTGCCCTCAGTGGAGGCACACCGCCGATACTGGTTTTGGAGAAAGCATCTGCCCTTGGCCTCCTCAGAGCGTGAATTACCTGCCCCGCTTTCGCTTCCAGGCAAAACCAAGCCATACCACGCGCCTCCTCGTCGAGCGGTCGGACCGGTACAGGCCGTGGTTTGGCATCGCTTGGCATCTCTTGGAAGCGAGGGTGGTCAAAAGCGAGGTAGGTAGGTTTGCCCCCTACTGTTTGCATCCTGTGTGTGGAGACGTGGGGGCCCTCTTAGGGGCCATCGTGGAAGCTTATTGGTCAAAAGCCCCCCCGGTCGGAGCACTCACACGAGCCTCCTGGGGCCGCTGGAAGCGAGGGTGGTCAAAAGCGAGGTAGGTTTGCTTTCCCCCTGGAGAGAGCATCGGCCCCTTGGCCTCCGATGGACCTCACCCCACCGCGCGCTCGAGGCCCGGGCCGCCGAGGGGGCCGGGGGCGCAGCGGGCGACGCAGAGCCGGGCGGCCCGGGCAGTATGGGAGGCGCCGCGGGGGCCTCGGGCCGCGGGGAGGGCGACGCGGCGACCACGGCGGCGAGGGTGGCGACGAGGGCGACCACGATGACGACGACGATGATTTTGGTGGTGGTGATGGTGATGGTGATGGTGGTGTTGGTGGTGACGGCGACCGCGACGGTGACGACGACGTCGATAATCATGGTGGTGGTGGTGATGATGGCGACGACGGGGGGCGGAGACGCTGGCGGCGAATACGACAACGAAGGCGACGGGGGCGACGACGAGGGAGATGGAGGACGATGACGACGAGGACCACGACGAGGAGGGCGACAACGTGGATGACCTTGAATATCCAAACAACTACTTGGCCCCTGCTGTGGTTTATTACAACAGCTATTTCAGAGGGCACGGGGGATTGGTTCAGCAGGCCAGGTTCGCACAACCGAGGCATGGGGGGCTGTTTTATTAGATGGTTTTCTGAATTGATATTCGTTCGGCCTACCTGTGCCCATTTCCATATCGGTCGTCTTCATTGTCTAACCTTTCGGGACAATACACATCATGATCATCATGAATATCAGCATCATCATCATCAGCAGCAGCATCATCACCATCATCTTCAGCAACAACATCAGCATCAGCATCAGCAGCATACTCATCAGCAACATCATTATCATCATCATCATCATCTGCATCGTCATCGTCATCATCATTGTTTCACCGTCACCATCATCATCGTCATCATCGTCAGCATAATCAGCATCAGCATCATCGTCGTCATCAGCATCACTGACATTGCTATGGCCGTCTCCACCGTAATCCTGGCAACTCCTCGACCTCATCGTGCTCATCATCACCATCGTTGTCACCATGGTAACCTTTGAAATGCCAACCCCTATAGGCTCCCACGGTCATGGCTCATGGGGCACACGCATGAAATATCTACCGCGCCGAACATGCGTATACACAGCCCAGACACAGGTCAATCGTGACCGTATGGGTGCCAGTGTACCTGCAACCAGTATCGTGACGATCACGACAGGCGTCGTCATCGCTGCTGATACCTTCCTCATCATGATAAGCATCAGCATCACGAAATACAGTCGCAGTTGGGCCCAGGAGGTCCAGGTGTTTCAAAGCGTCCCCGACACAGGGGGGTCCAGAGCCAGAGTACGAGGGCGACGACGAGGACAAGGTCACCCGCGGGGCGCGAAGGTGATCGCGCTTCGCGCATCGCAGCCTGAGCCAGCGCGGCGACGGTGGTCGGCTCGATGGCGCGGCGGCGCGAAGAATCGCCGCACGTCGCGCACCGCGGGGCGCGAGGCGCGAAGGTATAGGTGACCCTGGGGACGCTGGCGGCGGCGACGGGGGGGGGGGCGATTGCAGGTGGCAGGCGTGCCCGGGCACATGCAGCGAGAGAGGGCGAGGGCCAGGAGAAGCGAGGTGAGGCGGGGAGGGGGGGGGTGCTCAGGGCTGTCGTTGTGCTCCCTTGGGGGGCATGACGGCCATCATGGGGAGGCAGGGGCAGGGCGGCCCGGGGGGCGACGAGCGAACGCGCGAACGAACGACGGCGAAAAACACAGGGGCACCGAGCTCTAGAACACAGCCGTGCAAAAAAGAGAGGAGCGCGGTCCGAGCAGACGGGGGGCCATCGGGGTGGCCTGCGCCAGAGGGGGGAGGGCGGGGACGGGGGGCAGGCCGGCGTGGCCCTTTGGACCGGGGAGTGGACGGGCCGCGGCCGGACGGGGACGCGGGGGCAGAGGGCTCGAGGACGGCGACGGGCGATCCGAAGCCTTCGGGGGGGGGGGGGGGGGAGGCCACGGGGGAGGCCAGGGAGGCCGCAGGACGCCAGGAGGGGGGGAGGAGGAGGAGCAGGAGGAGGAGGAGGAGGAGGAGGAGGAGAGGAGGAGGAGGAGGAGGAGGAGGAGGAGGAGGAGGAGGAGGAGGAGGAGGAGGAGGAGGAGGAGGAGGAGGAGGGGGGGAGGAGGAGGAGGAGCAGGAGGAGGAGGAGGAGGAGGAGGAGGAGGAGGAGGAGGAGGAGGAGGAGGAGGAGGAGGAGGAGGGGGAGGGGGGGATGGCGGGGGAGGGGCAGAGGGGCCCTGGGGAGGCCCGGGAGGCCCGAGGCCTGAGCGGCCAGGGAGGCCAGGGGAGGCCAGGGCAGGGGCGCGAGGTGCCGGAAAACGGGCAGGGCAAAGCAGAGAACGGCACGAGAAACAACGTTTACAGGGGCACCCTCGAGGGCGCGAGTCTATTCGCGCTTCGCGCTTCGCGGCTCGGCTCCGAATCCTCATCCTCCTCTTCTCCCCTGGGAGGCGGCGCGAGAGCGACACGAGGAGGAGGACGACGACGACGACGAAGCTGCAGCAAGCCGAAGCCCCGGGGGGGGAGGCAGGGCCAGGGGGGAGGCCAGGCGCCACCCAGGATTGGACGGAAATACGGAGGTCCGAGTTATAGAACAGAATAGTGCAGGAGAGTGAAGGCATCCAGAGTACGACGACGACGACGACGACGACGACGACGACGACGACGACGACGACGACGACGACGACGACGACGACGACGACGTGGGCGACGGCGACGGTGGCGGCGGCGGCGGCCACGGCGGCCACTGCGGCGACGGCGGCGGGGCGCCTGCGTGCGCGCGTGTGGCGGCAGGCGCGCCTGCGGCGGCGGTGGCCGCCGCGCCGGCGGCGGCGCCACCGCCAGCCGGCAGCGACGCCAGCGGCGCCGCTGGGAGCGCACCGCGCGGGGCCGGCGCACGCTGTCGGCGGCGGCGGCGGCGGCGGCGGCCTCTCGAGGTGCGAGGCTCAAGGTGTTTGAATGCTTTCGTCGTATTTGGGAGGTCTTCCAGCCTCGGGATGCGTTCCAGCAGCTGCGCTTCGCCGAGGGCGTTCCGAGAGTGCCCTGATCTTCCTAGTCGGTTGCCGGAGGCCAGGGTTATGAACAGAACGCCAGACATCCGACGTTTCGGAACAGCAAGAATGAGATTTGTCACTGCTTGCAGCCTCTGAGGGCCCTCGCAGGACCCCGGGAGAGTCAAAAAACGGCGCAGGACGAAGAGGCCGCCCCGGGGAACGGGTCGAGGCTTCCGGGGACCCCGCCTTCGGGCATGGAGAGAGCGCCCACGCAGACAGGTCGACTGCGCTCGACATTGGCATTCGAGGCTATCCGTGCAGTCCCCAGGTGGTTTTGCCAATCGGCGTGCGTCTCGCTGGATGCATTCGGTTAATTTCGGACGTCGGTTAGCTACTCAGCGCGCTGGGGTCCATGCGGAATGCGGTCCCGTGCGCACGTGGAGTGCACCTTGCAGCTGTCGCTGAAGGGCGTTTTGCTACAGGTTGCTGTTTCCATTCTCAACGCTCTGGAAAAATCAAGACGTCGGACGTCTGGGTCTATGAGGCCCCCTCCTGAGCCCATCTGGAGTCTGGACCCGTCCGGCCGCCGCACGGGTCCACGATCGAAGTCATTCGGCGGCCGAGCAGGCTCGAGTTCCCGCCACGGTGCTGGAATCGAGGGCCCGTTCGGCGGCCTGCAGCGGGCTCAGGCGCAGAACGGGCTCAGAAGGGAACCGTGGGGGCGCTGCAGGCCCTGCTGTCGGCACCGCCCTCCGACGGCCACGGCGGCGGCGGCGACGGCGAGATTCGGCGACGTCCGGCGACGGCTGGCGACGATGGGCGCCGACACCGGCGGCGGCAGGGACGACGCCGACGGCTGCGGCGCTGCGGCGGCGGCGGCGGTGGCACCATAGCCGACGCCGCGGGGCACTCCAGCGGCGACGGATTCGGTGGCGAGGACGGCGCCAGCCCCAGCGGCGGCGGCGGCCGCTGCGCCGAAGCCGGCGCGCGGCAAGCTGTCCTACCTGCCGGGGCCCTCAGCTCGCCCCTCGCCGTGCCGCGCCGCTCGATCCCTGGGCCCCCCGGTCCTTCGAGGGTCGACGCTTCTCTGGGCCCCATAGTTGCTGCGGAGGCCTCCCGGGGCTTCTGCGGCGACCTCCTGTGTGAACGCGGCTTCTCGTGGTCACCTCCGCGGCGCCGCGTGCCGATCTGGCAGGGCTTCCCTGCAGCTGCGGGCCGGCCTGCGGCGCAGCGTGCCGCGCCGCGTGCGGGGGTGGGCCTCGGGTCGTGGGGCGTCACGGCGGGCGTTCCTGATCCGCTTCCTTCAGGAGGGAAAAAAACACACAGACACAATTAATCGTCGATTCCCTCGAAAACATGGGAAAATATGGGAAGCGGAGGGGGGGGGGGGGAAGACAGAAACCCAGAAAATATAGGAAAATATTGGGATTTGTTTTATTTGTGTGTGTGTTTATTGGTGTACCCCAGGGCCCCTTCATTCCTGCCCTGATCGACACCCTCGCGGAGCGGCCAGGGCTAGGATCCGAGGCGGGAATTCATACATGACCACCGCCTGGAGGGTCAGTTTTCGGAGCCTCGGCAGGCGGCGGATATGGACGAGTTCGGGCCCCCGGGGGCCGATATATATAAGAAGAAGAAGAGGAATAATAATAATGATATATATATATATATATATATATGGATATATATATATATATATATATATATATAGATATGTATATATATATATATATCCATATCCATATCCATATCCACCGCCCGCTGGGGTACCGGGACGTCGGTTCCCACGCGGTGGATGTGGGTAAATCCCTGCCTCGCATGGGAGGTGCCGCAGGAAGATGGGGTTGGGAGTTCTCGCGGACTGCTCGCCGACGGAGCTGCGGCGGTCGCCTCGCGACGTCGGGTCTCGGGGGTCGCGCCGCGCCGCTGGGAGGGCCCCAGAGGAGGCTCAAACGGGTTGGAGGTCCCGTTTCCAGTCTGGGTGGTTGCTCACGTTTGTTTTAAATGTTCCGCTCCATTCAGATTGCACAGCCCTGGTTGGACCCCCCAGAGTAACCCCATGCATTTCACCCATGATCCTCCCCGCTAGTGAAGAATGGATTCTACCCCTCCTTGAGGCGGCATGTAGCGGCTCGCCTCCGCAGAGACGCTGCACGATCCTGCATCCCAGGCGCGACCTCGTATCATCCCAGTCAGTCCCCTCCCCCATGGCAAAGAAGGCTATTCGGAGCATTCGTTTTGCTCTTGCATGTGGACGTTTGAATGAGGCCGCACTCGCACAGAGGCTGGGGCACTTCACCTCGGACGCGTCCTCGGTGATACAAAATTGCACCAGGTGGCCATTGCCACCCAAGTAATAGGCAGGCTACCACCAGACCAACCACATTGAGTCAAGTCCAGCGGTAGTGACCAACCCTTTGATAATGCCATACGGTTCCCCAGGGTCGCGCACACGTCCAAGTCCTTCCAACACCGTCGGTTCTCGCGCAATGTTTGAGCCACAGTTGCCCACATCTACTGCTTTCTGCAATCGGACGAGCGACGCAACAAAACGGGGTCGTCTTCGCCGACATTGGCGCGTGAGCTGCCCGCGCAAGCTCGCGCGCAAGCGCCCTCGTCTCCAGTAAAGCGTGCCGCGCTGGCGGCCCGCGTAAGCCACCACGTAAGGCCGCCATGCCATCTCGCGCAAGGCCCTTTTTAGACCGTCGCTCGGATGCTAACCTATTCCTATGCGCGCACATACACCGAGCGCGTTCCACTATTCGCAAAGTGCCTACTCGCGAACTTCCGAAAACCACATGCCTGCTTCGACGTAATTTACCGTAGATCCCCCACGGCGGATCCAGGCCAGTTGCGAGTAGTTACTCTGCGAGTAGTGGAACGCGCTCGTCTACACATGCTGGCATCGTACAGGTGTTTGGACCGGCATGTGAAGTGACGCTTGCGCATGTCGGAATCATGCAACAGCCATCGCGTACTCGTCAATCAGGAGGAAACGAAACACACAGACACAATGAATCCTCGATCCCCCAGAAAATAAGGGAAAATATGGGAAGTGTTGGGGAAGACAGAAACCCAGAAAATATAGGAAAATATGGGGAATCTTTTTATTTGTGTGTATTTATTTGTGTGTTTGTGGCCCCCTTCATACTCGTCAACTCTGACAGATGTACTTACATGCGGGCCACACGCGCGCGTCCTGAGAAGCAGTGGTTGTCCCAGCATTTCAAGACAGGTGTCCCAATGTGACGACAAGCGCATGAGATCCGAGGCGGGAATCTGTACATGACCACCGCCAAGAAGAGAATTGTTCGGGGACCTCGGCAGGCGGTGGATATGGATATTCCATTTAGGGGACAGTTTCCTACTGCATTGCTTCGCCCTGCTTGGCATTGGTTCTGCATTGCGCGGCATTGCTTTTCATCGCTCGGCATTGCTTGGCGTTGCGTGACCTTCCTCGGCATTACTTGGCACTTATTGATTTTAGTTTGCATTGCTTTGTGTTGAGCTGCACTGCTTTGGCTTGCTTCGCATTGCTTCGTATTGCTTGGCATTGTTTGGTAGCGCGTGGCACTGCTTTGTACTGTGTGGCGTTGCTTTGCATCGCTCTGCATTGATGAGCATTGCTTGACATCCCTTGGCAATACTTGGCGTTGCTTGGCAAAACACAGCATTGGAAGGAACAAGGCCAAGGAAACCGAGGAAGGCAGCAAGGATCAAGACCAAGGAACCCCAGGAGCGCTGCAAGGGACCTAGGCCACGGAACCCGAGAAAGTCAACCAGGAACCAAGATCATGGAACCCGAGAAACGCAGCAATGAGCCAGGACCAAGGAACCCAGGCAACGCCGAGCGCCGCTTCCGGGGAGGGACGTCGCACCCACTCGTTATTTCGCAAAGCAAGTCGGAAACCAGTAGGATCATATTAGTTTGTGAAACCAGGAGATGACAGCGTTTCTGCCCGCGCACTTCCTCCTCATCCTTATCGGCACCATCGTCGTCATCTTTGCCAGCGTCATCCTTGTGATCATGGTCATCACCACCATCCTCTCCGTCACCATCACCACCGTCGGCATCATCAACCACAGCCGTCGTCATCACAATTGTCATCGTCATTGTTGTCGCCCTCGTCATCATCGCCACCACAAGAACCATCATCATCATCATAATCATCATCGTCATCATCATCAGCATAGTCATCATCGTTCTCACTATCATCATCAGCAGCATCATCATCATCATTATCAGCATCATCATCGTCATCATTATCAGCATCATCATCATCCTCATCACCATCATCATCGTCATCAGCATCATCACCACCACCATTACCATCACCACCACCACCATCACCACCACCATCACCATCACCATCACCATGCCATCATCATCAGCAGCAGCAGCAGCAGCATCGTTGCCGATGCTTCCGTCACAATCACCATTCTGCCGGCCGAGTGATGGATCAGCAGGATGAGGAACCTCGCATCACTACGCCAGCTGAGTTTACCCAAGAAGTTGAGGATGTGGGATATGTGCTCGAGCATCGGAGCTCGCGACTCCAAGTTCCCCCCTTCACCATGACGCCCCATACATTGAACCGCCTAGAACCGACCGCACTGATTGCTCCCAATAGGTCGCGTCCCATAGGCTGCACCGTCTAACTCGCACGCCCTTTTCACATATGAGACTCTACCCCCGTGCCAAGACCAGACTTATCGCTTCCCTTCCAGGTGTAACGTTTTCGTGTCTATTATGCGCGATCGCTCAGGCGTGCATTGCTTCCCCCGTCATCTCTATCACAATCTAGCGACGTTCGGCCCATCCCGCGGCCGCGCCTGGGTTGCAGTGCAGCTGCGTCATGCATGCCCGTGGGATCTCTTGGGAGGCCTCTAGGAAGCCTCTCGGAGGCCTCCAGGAAGCCTCTCGGAGGCCTGGGGCTCCCCGGCCTCTAGGCTGCAGGAGGCCTTGCAAGAGGCCGCCTGGGATCTCCTGGGAGGCCGTCGAATCAGGCTGCAAGAGGCCTCTTGGAGGCCTCTTGGGGGCCTCTTCAAGGCCTCTTGCAGCCCGATTCGGGCTTCGCGGGGGCCTCCGTGAGCTTCTCGTGAGGCTTCGTGAGGGGCATGCTGGCGGTCTCGGAGGCAGTCTTGGGGGCGGAGGGCTCGAAATGTCGGCTTGTGCTCCCCCTCGTGGGCCTCTCTTCGGCCCTCTTTGGGGGCCTCTTGGGCCGTCGTGGGGACCTCTTGGGCCGTCTTGGGGCCCTCTTGGGCTGTCTGTGGGCTCTCTCTGGAGGCTCTCGGGGTGAGCTTGGGAGCCTCTTGGGCCGTCTTGGAGCGTCGAGAGCTCGAAAAGGCGAGGCCGCCAAAACTGACGGACAATCGATGCTTTTGGCCTCTTCGGGGCCCGTTTGGAGGTGCTCTTGGAGCCCTTGTGGCGCGTCTTGCTCGGGCCGTCTGCAGGCCATCTTGGGCGCCTTGGAGCGTTTTTTGGGCGACTCAGGGCCCCCTCGGATCCTCTTGGGGGCCTCTTGAGAGCATCCTGGCACGTTTTGGGGCCCTGCCGGCTCCGAAGAAGTCACGCAGGGACGCGCGCCGAGCCCCGGGAGAGCCGCGGCGAGCCCCGGCCCTCTCTTATACAGCCAAGGCGCTGCAATAGGGAACAGCTTGGATTCGGAAGGGGCTCGATGTTCCTTACGTCCTTCCGTGGTCGTTCCTCTAGCCCCTCTCGTGCACCCAGGCCTTTTTGAAGCCGCAGAGGGGCTTCGTTCCATACTTCGGCAGCCCGGCTGCACGCAAGGCTCAGGCCGGATCGGGCCTTCGATGCGCGAGTCTTCGGTGCGCAGACCTCCGGCCGCGGCCTTCGTGAGTCTCTGACTTGCCTGTCCACTGCAACCTGTTCACTTCGAGGGAAAATCGGGAGGGGAAAAAATCACACACAGACGCAGTGAATCGTCGATCCCCCAGAACATATGGGAAGAGATGGGAAGCGGAGGGGAAGGCGGCAATCCAACAAAATTATCTTGGCGAAGGACCCAACCATAGGCAATTGTTCGTAACGCGTTGTGGGTGCCGCTTTCGGTGGGGCTCCCTATGGGGCCACGAAACGCTGCCCTGGGTGGGGGAACCGCATGCGAGAGCAGCCACTGGGGCCTTCGTTGGAGCTCCCTATGGGGCCACGAAACGCTGCCCAGGGTGGGGGGAACGCATGCGAGAGCAACCACTGGGGCCTTCGGTGCAGCTCCTTATGGGGCCACGAAACGCTGCCCAGGGTGGGGGGAACGTATGCGAAAGCAACCACTGGGGCCTTCGGTGGAGCTCCCTATGGGGACACGAAACGCTGCCCAGGGTGGGGGAAACGCTCGCGAGAGCAACCACTTGGGCCTTCGGTGGAGCTCCCCATGGGGCCACGAAGCGCTGCCCAGGGTGGGGGGAACGCATGCGAGAGCAACCACTGGGGCCTTCGGTGGAGCTCCCGATGGGGCCACGAAGCGCTGCCCAGGGTGTGGTAAACGCATGCGAGAGCAA